TGCCGGTGTCCTACTCACTTCGCCAATTTTGAGCCAATGGGAAGGCTTGCGGATTCAGAAGACAGAGGACGGTAGACAAGTCGTTGGCGTCCAAAGAACCCATGACGAGCAGATGATTTACAATTCGTAGAAGTGGCCTGTACAACAACAAAGAACAGCACAAATGAGAATTAGACCTCTGCAAAGAAGTTAAGAGCATCATAGGCGTCCTCGAATAAGGCAGCCCGATAATAATATGTGAACGCCGGCGGTAACTATTTTTCTTCAGTTGACAAGCACTTATATGTAGAAACACAAAACCTAAACACAAAAAGAAACTATATATCCTTCCTATATCCATACAAGATCTTCCGGGAGTATTGTGAAAGCATATATACCAGGGCGAAAAGGATTACGGACTATTTGAGGCCCAGAATCCCAGTTATTGAGTGCTTAATCGACGAATTAAAGAAGTTTCCTTTAAAAACAGCAAAGCTTGCCGACCGCTGTAAAGTAACCAGTGTTATGAAAACGATAGAGAATCGTCGCAACCATAAGACAAGACAAAATGCGTTGAATGGGTAGAGTGTGGGCGGGAAGGTGGATGATGGCTGATTTTTCCTACACATGGTGTCTATAAGTAGAATGTCTTCCTTTACTTTAAAAATGGGAAAATGTACCACGTAAAAAGTATGCTCATAGGTCAATTTCTGTTATTAATAGGAATGCAGCAGGTTTGGGTGCAAGAAATAAAAAAAGGTAGTTGAGCTCATTTTAAACTGAATTCAATTGTTGAAGTCCGCGCCGGTAATGCTACACGCGAAAACTAAATCTGTTCAACAAATATTTCAATTGGGTCTGCAGTAAGTTGAGGCGTAATCGATAACGTACAGAAGGGCATGCTCGAAGCTGCCTCCGAAGGGATCCCTAACATGTCCACCAGTATTGACGATGTCTATGAGGACGTCCAGGGTCTGTTTCTTGAGAATATCCACGGGGAAGGGTGGACAATCAGCGAGCTTGAGA